ACCTCCCCCGCCGCCGCCGCCGCCGCCGCTGCCGCAGAGAAGAGGCCGTCCCGCCGACACCGGCGGCGGCGACGGCGACCTGATTCCGTTGGCCGTAGTCCTGCCATCATCATCGGCCACCGTTTCCGCTGCCGCGGCCGCGGAAGAAGCCACGTCCTCCGCATGGGAAGACGACGCCCGGGGTGCCCATCGACCCAGCCGCGTCGGGAGTGTGAAAGACGACGACGAGTGCAGCTTAGCCGCCCCGTTGCCAGAGGCGCCGGACCGGCGGAACGACAGCTTCTTCGCCGGGCCCGTTGTTGTTGTTGTTGCTACCGTTCCCGTCGTCTCAGCAGAGGTAGCGCCGTCTGCAGGAAGGGGCACCGCCGCCGTCGCTCCTCCTCCTGCGCCGACGCTAGCGGCCCCCGCCGTCGGCGGCATCGCCGTGCCCTCCGCCAAAGACGCCACCGCCGCCGCAGACCAAGGCTGCTGCCTCCTCCCACCAGGCCGGTCCTTGTACACCACTGTTACGGCACCGGGGTGCTCGCTAGACACGGTCAGGCTCGGCCACCGCGCGGGGATCTCATCGTCCGCCCAGCTGTCCAGGAGATCGTCCATGCATATCAGGTCGGCCAGCGGACCACCACCCCCCCCCCCCGCCGCCCTCTCCGCCCCAGCCTGCTTCTGCTGTCCCACGTTTCCGCCCGCTGCCCCGGGAACACCCCCCACCCCCCCTCCTCCGGACTCCGCCGCCGCCTTGCCCGCCGTCGCAGCGCCGCCCGCCCCCGCCCCTCCCCCGCCGCCGCCGGCTCCGCTCGCGGTGGAACTTGAGACGCGGTCGTCTTTCTTCGGCGCTTTGCTGCTGTTGCTGTTGCTGCCGCCGCTCGCTAGATCGCCACGGAAAGAGGGCTCGCCGATCACTCTCGCCAGGAGCTCGACGCCCGGGGGCGGAGCGTTCGTAGCACCAGCGGAGGCGTTGTTGGAACCCGGGGAAGGGGACGAGGACGAGGAGAAGGAAGAGTTAACGGTGGTGGTGGCGGCGACATCTGCCGCCGGAGCCGACGTCTTCGACGGGCTTGGGGTCGGGAGATGGTTCGGGAGATTGCTCCCGGTACCGGCGACGACGAGGCCGAGAGCCTCTAGCGAGGCCCCGTCCTGGTCCAGTACCTCTGTAGTCGCGTTGCCCTTGCGGCGCACCTATTCATCCGCGTGGATTTACGCGCGCGCGAGAGAGAGAGAAAACGAGCGGGAGGTGGCGACGGCAGGCGGAGGCGGCGACGGCCAAGGGCAGCAGCAGCAGTGCAGTGTCAGGCGCCGGCAGGAGGAGCAGCGGGCAAGAGCAGCGAGCGGCGGACCGAAGAATAGGGCGATTACTGACTGCTGCCAAACCGAGTGTCCACCCTTCTGTTCGTGCGCCTTACCAACCTTGGTGAAGGCGGGACAGAGGGAATACGGGCTGGGGGATATGCACCGCGGTGTAGGAGGCGAGACAGTCATCTCGAACATCACCGCGCGCCGCGCCCCATCTCCCCGTACTACAACATGCTCCGTGGAAGCCATACGCCCCCCAGAGAATCTCAGCCCCCTTTATTGCAAACAAACACAACCGCGGATCGAGACAACAACAAGCCTGGCAAGAAGAGACCGATCGGAGTGCCAAAGGAACAAACCACAAGCCGGCTCACCACTCTGCCCAGCTCCAAGAACTCCGCCGGCACTCGAAAGCGCCGAGCCACCTCACACCGCAGGTCTCCCAGGACCGTGCTCAACGGCAGGCGCACGTCTAGCACCGGCACGCGATCGGGTCCGACCTCAACGCTCACCCGCACCCTGGTGGTGCCTGCGCGACGCCGGCGCCGAACGGTGCAAGCAGTCAGATAGATGACAAGAGAGCGTAAACATTCGCGACCGCGGCAGGTCTCGGTAACGGACAAAAAGAGCGGGTGCGCATACATGTCACGGGCGGAACAAAGACGGGGGAATTAAGTTTTCACTGCAGCAGACATCTAGGTTTGCATCTTCCAAAACCGCAAAAGCCGATGTCGAGTCGGGGATGGTTGCGCGACCGCAACCACACCACCACGTACCGACTGCTGTGCAGCATACTCCCTCCCCCCTCCCACAAAAATAGCAGCAGAGTGCGTCAAACCACAGGTGGTAGGCCAATGATACCCTCGTTCGCCTCCCCGCTCCGCCGTTCGTGTTAGCTACACACCTGAGGCGGCCCCGTTCTCCTCCTCCTTGCTCTTGGTCACGAACTTCGCCAGCAGCAGTATGCACCGCCCGGCTCTTCGATGCAGGGACGCGATCTGGGCTTGCGGAGATGCCGCCGCCGCCGCCGCCGCCGCCGCCGCTGCGCTCCCCCGGCCGGATCCCACCACCACACTGCCGTGGTGCTCCGCTTCGAGCTGCATAGCCCTCGTCACGTCCCTCCCCTCCACGCTCGTCGACCTCGACGACGCGCCGCCCATCATCCTGCCCTGACGGGTGCTGCCCTTCTCCGGGGGGAGGCTGGAAGATCGCCTCCTGACGAGGTCGGCGTGTGGCCGCAGCAGTTGGAGTCACGAGTCGGGCGGGTCGCGTGAGGGGGGGGCGGGGGGCGGGGGCGGGAGGGAGGGAAGGGGTGCCCTTACATGAGATTCGACGTCGAGCAGCTTGGAGCAAGCATTCGTGCCGAAAAAATTGGTAGGCATGCCTTACTGTCTCGACGCGATACACGGTGAGGAACGTCACGCGCGCATATCTCCCTGCGCCCCTACCCTGGCAGGTTGTGGAAGGCAGCGACTCATCCAGCGGCGGACCGTAAACACTCTCCGTGCAAAGCAGTCCCGGGAACCGAGGAATCACGGCCAGCTACTGCTGAAGCGTCCTACAGCAGTATCGCCTGAGCTTCCCATCAGGTGGACACTCGCCTCTGTAGAACGAAAAGAAACACAGAATGCCGTGACGCCAGCCACCCACGACGAACGTAGCAGCAACCTCTCTTGTTGTGGAATCTCTCTGTCGCCGGGTGTTCCCAACAAGTCCGAGGGAGGAGAGAGGTCTCTCCAAGGCCCCAAACAAAAACCTCACCACAAAAAGCAAAAGACGGGAACTGCGAGCATCATCAGTCCACCACTGCCAGGGCGACAAAAAAAAAAACTCACCGGAAATGCCGCGACCCAATCCGCGACCCGCTCGCCCCTTCTCTCAACCTGCCGCTATCAGCAACGGCAACAGCAGTATCTTCTTCCGATGACGATGCCGTCGGCAGCGGCGCAGGAGCAGCAGCGTCCCCGGCGCGGCCGCGGAGAGACCGTATCCGGGACACGGACACCTGTAGGTAGTGGAGGCACGTGTCCACGAACCCCGCGCCGATCCTGGCGGCCTTGGACTTGAGCTTCGGGCCGAGGCGGAGGTGCAGCTCAACGATGAGGTCGGAGGCGGCCAGGGAAGCCTGGGAGCCTGCCGACGTTGCGTGTACAACGTCGAAGCAGCGGCGGCAGTAGCGGCGGCAAAATACGGCAGTCAGGTCGTGGCACGCACGCACACTCTTCGTTTGTAGGGGATCGGTACAAACAAAACGTCAGCCAGCTGGTAGACTAGGTGGACGCAGACGGGCACGTTCCGAATCTTGGAAACATTATCTCACAGAGCGAGAGCATTACCCACGACCATCGTGTTGCCGGTTCGCACTTCTTGACGAAACGTGATCACACAAGTCGACATTCGAATTCAATCGCTCCGCTGTTTCGCGCCGAAGAGGGAACAAAAAAACAAAACACGTGCTTCCTCCATCCGATAAAACAGCTGCGTTGCTCTCCTACGAATACACCGGCCCAAAGCAATCAACACTATCATTCGCACCGAGGCCATACATAACACGCATCCGTCACCTGCGGCGTCGAGCACGACCTCCCACAGCGTGTCCAGCCCGTCGAGGTCTATCCCATGCCTCACCCACCCGCCGCCGCCGACCACCGCTGCGCCCTGACTACCAAGCACCCCCCCGCCCGCCCCCGCTCCTGCGCCTGTCGCTGCTGCGGCTGCTGTTGCTGCACCACTGCCGGCGGCGGCGGCGGCCTTTACGTCTCGACGGATCGCCTGAGCGGGGGGAGTTACGAAAGTCCGGGTGAGCAGCGGCGGGCGCGAGATTTGGGGCAAGGGTAGCAAAGCGAAAGGGTTAGAGAAACGAATGGTGGAGGGGACACATTCTACGGCATGCGTTTGCCCCCAAGAAATGAAGTGGCGTCTGAGGAACGAGCTGCCATTTGTGCCGCTTGTATGCATAGGTTGGTGGTCGCAATAGCAAAAAGAAACAAAAGACAAGAAAGCACGCCGATGTATGTATGCCATCGTTCCGTCTAGCAAACGGAACACCGACCCGTAACATGCATCAACACCCAGTCTCTTTTCCACAGCGATCGATCCTACGGAGAGCAGAGGCCCGGGCTTCGCGAAAAGAAGGCAAGGAACCACACGAACGAACACGCACGGAAGTACCCGACCACAACAAACAACAAGCAAGAGCGTATTAGTGGAGCTTCCACGTGTTTGTACACATGGCGGTAGCTTACGTTACCGAACACTCTTTCCTTTCTCCCCTGCAGCCTGCCGCAGCATGCTGGTACCACAACCCCGAACGAAAGGAGCGGGTAAAAAGAAAACAACACTAACTCGGTGCATCTTCCGCCTTCTCTGTGTGGTCACCTTCGTGCGGCAGTTGACGTGCACGAACAGCAAGCCGAACAGCGCGGCCACCTCAGGCCTGTAGCCACTCCCGTGAAATGACGCCACGGCCAGCTTCGTCTCGAAGAGGTACGTTAACGCAGCCTCGGGGAGCGCCGGGAGCGGCCCCACCAGACCTTGCCGCAGCAGTACCCCAAAAGCAAGAAAGAGGGTAGAGATGAGACACCCGGTCACGCGAAGGGGGGAAGTTATTCGCACATGACTTTACAGGAGAGCACACAACGTTTCCAGGATACGACAACATAAACTTCCACCACCACTTGCTTGCGGTCGTGAACGGCGTGTCACTTGTCAAACGGGAGGGACGGGTACAGTACAAGCGCCACAAGAAAGCGCAACAACTTGTAAAAAATTGACAAAGACGACAACGACAACGACAACGACAACGACAACGTCTCCTTCGTCCGACCACCACCCTCTCTCCCACACCTGCGAATGTTGTCGAGCTACCACCACCACCACCACCGCCGCCGCCGCCGCCGCCGCCGCCGCTGCCGCTTCCACCAATACCACCACCACCACCACCACCACCACCAGACGCGTTGTCCGCGGATCCGGGAGCCAGCGCCGAAGGAGACGCCAACGCACCGGCGGTGCCCCCGCCCGCCCCCCCTCCCCCCGCGGCGGCAGCAGCGCCACCCTGGGCCGGCGTGGAAGCATCCCCGACCGTCGCGCAGACCTGTCTCAGCCAGACAAGTGCCAAGTCTGTGGCAGGTGCGCCACGGCGGTTAGAATTGGGGGGGGGGGGGGGGGGGGCAAGCGGAGCAACAGGGTCAGCGTCAAAAGAGGCGGTCAATCGCACCCGGAGAGGGGACGGAGAGTACAAGAAAACGCCTGTCTGCTTTGTTTAACGAGCCAACACAGATCCTCCGCTCACCCGCTGCCTCTGGCGTCAGGGCTCCCTCCACGAGCACCCTCCACAAGAGATCCACGTGCGCCTCCGCCAGGGACAGGCTAGAGTTAGTCAGCGCGAACATCAAGAAACCCAGCTTGGCCTTTTTTGGTGACACACGCCGAACACGGAAACCCGCGAGCAAGGGGAGAGAGTAACGCGTGTCACGTTGAGAAGGATCAGACGCGAGGGAGACCCACGACATGTTCATTCGTACCACGATGGCGGCAGCCGCCGCCCCGCGCGTTGCACATACGAATGGCGTGTCTTTTTACTCGGCTGTCACCGGAATACGACCTCGCAAAGATCAACAAGAAACCAGCAAATTTTTCCGACACGCACAAGCCATCACGGACTGCAAACAAGCCAAAATGCCTGGGGTATGGATAAAATACTTCAGGCGGAAGAAACAAAACGAAAACAAATACTTTGTACGAAACAGAAGCGCATCGGCGAGCGCGTCAGTAAGAGTAGCTCATCCGCGAAAAGGAGCTCTCCATCAGCCCCCCGAAACACTCGGGGTTCCCCGCTACCGCAAACCCCCCCACCTGTATGTGCTGCAGGTGGCTGTAGCGGGTCGTCACCCCCTCGACCCTGACGCGCCCGTGGTTCAGCACCGCTTGCACCTGCTCGCTCAAGCCCACGCCCCACCTCACCGCTGTCGCCGCCGCCGCCGCCGCCCCTCCGCCCTGCTGCGAGGGCCGTGCCCCGACCTCCGGGGACGCCGCAGAATCGGTCGTCGTGGCGGACGACGAGGGGGGTGCCGCGCTGCTGCTGTCGCCGCTGCTTCCGCTGCCGCTGCCGCTGGAGCTGCCGGTGGTTGCGTCCGAACGGGCGACTGCTGCCCCTCCAAGGGCCTCGTTGTCGTTCGCTGGTCCTACTTCTACCCGGAGGTTGTGTCCTTCCGCTGCTGACCGATTCGACCGCAACGACTGGGAACGCGAAGGGGTACAGTAAAGAGCGAGGAAGGAGGAGGGGGGGGGGTATACTTACATGAATTGATGAATTGCTGTTGTTTTCAAGGGAGAGGGGTGTGGGTGGGGTCCAAGGTGGCTCGGACGAAACGCACAAGGTGGGGGGAGGGTAAGGACCTGCAACAACACCACCGTTGTTCCGGTACTCTCGTCGCGTCACCAACTACCCCGGAAAACTTCTCGCCCACAGGTGAGGTGTAGAACACAAGTTTACGTTACATACGCAGAGACAGAGAGAGAGAGAGAGAGAGAGAGAGAGAGAGAGAGAGAGAGAGCGTGTGGCTACGCACAACATCCGCGCCCGTAAACGATCCTATTCTCTCAGCGGCTACATAGCGAAGGAGCTATCAATCTACCAGGGGCCGCGCCGCCTCCCCCCTCCCTCCGCACAGAGGACACACGTACTCTACCAGGCCACAAAAAAAAAAGAAGACAACGAAAAAATACTGTGCGTCACCACAACACACCACTGTCCCGTAATACGACGCAACGGAGGCATGGTAGTCCTTGAGCTCTTCCAGCAGCGTCGGCAGGAGCCCTTGCGTCCGCTGCAGCGTCTCCAAGGCTCCCGGAACGCTGATCGTCAGCGCCAGATAACGCACAGACACGGCAAGAGCACGGGGGGGGGGTGTACTCATAGTCAAGCTCAACAGCAGTTTGAAAGCGACCACGGTCTTTTGAGTGTCTAGGTGCGGGAAACGGGGCCGAGACGCACCAAAACCAAACCAGTAGTTTGTTGTATTCTCTTTCTCTCCCTCTCTCTCTCTCTCTCTCTCTTGTATGTTGCAGGCGACAAAGCAAGGCGGAATCAGCAGATGCCAAGAAAGCAGCTGTTTCCGCCCTTTCGCGGCACGTCGATTTTTCCACACAGTCTCCCCCCCCCCTACCTGTTCTCCTTCGAGCGGGACCCCCCAAACCAGCTCTTCGCCTCGTGGGCGGGGAGCGTGGCGATCGCTCGCCGCAGGACCTCCAGGCTTGCCGGCACGCTCCGCCTCGCGACCACATTCTCCATGCACCGCGTCATCAAGGGCCACAGCTCTTGAGACACCTCTGGCTCCTTTAGCAGGGACACCAGATAACCAGCCGCCAACGAGACCAACGCGGCGGAAACCGTGCCCTTCTCGCCACCACTGCCACCGCCGTGCCTCTTGTTGCCCGTGCCCTGCACGTTTATTTTTGTTTAGAAGGGTGAGTTTGGTTCGTTCTCTGTTTGGGCTCTTGTGACTACATACACCAGCGGTTATCAGCAAGCACCAAAACGGCTATTGCGATCGTACTGCATGTATACGCGTCGTGTGGATGCGATTGGTCGGCAACGCAAGGAAGGCGCCTGACAATGTTTATCGCCGAAGCATTGCCTCTCCTCATACGTACCTCACTTGACCTCTTCTTCCCAGCACAACCGACCCCCTGCCCCGCCTCGACGCCATCCCACGCCGCCATACCTCAACTAATACGCAAAAGAGCGCCACCAGGACCCACGTATCCCGCTTTCATCAATCCGCAACCAGAAAAGCATTCGGCCGCATCTCTCCAAATCCCACGCAACCGAACAAAAAAACTCTCACAAACCAGCACGTGCTTATGTACAAATACAGTTAGCCGACGAGGGCGGGGTCCTGCGGCTACATGTAGGCTACAGACGGCCCCTATATATAGGTTTAAGTGTCGACGTTCTCAGCACCGCACGATATACGGTAGATACCACACACCTGGTCCGGCGCGTCCTGCACGAAGAGCCAGAGCAGCCCGTACCCGTAGCCCTCCCACTCTCGCTCGCGGCAGTGCAGCACCTGCCCCCGTCGAAGAAGTCCCCCCTTACCGTCACCCGCTGGCGTGGCACCAGTCTGCGGCGGAGTGGAGGGGGGTGGAGCGTGCTCATGTTTCGCATGCCTTAGTTGTTAGACCATTGACAGCGGGGGGGTACTCGCATGCCGTAAGTCGTTTTGCCAGAGGCATCATCCGCAGTTGGTAGGGAGCATGCCGGGTTTTCGCCGGACCCCGCAAGCCAGAAGAGATGGGGGGGGGGGGGTGTATCGGGGTGCACGTGAAAAGGAGAGCGCAGCAGGCTAAAACATTTCGTCAAACATTGGAATATTGAGGACCTATCCTCGTGCCACTTTCGAGCGTCGCGATTTCCCCCGTCGCCTTCTGCACCCATACTCCTTCCTCCCTCCTCTCTCTCGTCCTCCCCCAACCCCCCTGTGTACCCCCGCGTACCGCCTTCCTCGCCGTGTAAACACCCCCACCTGAGAAGATGCGGCGGCGGAAGCGTGAGGGCCCGCAGGAGAATCGCCCCCTGGCTTGCTGGCCGGCGACGACTTTGTTGTCCTGTGCGCCTCCAAGGCTTTGACCGTAAAAAGGTACACCTTCACACGACGGGGTTACGGTCATACGTAGGAAGAGCGGCAGGCCAGACAAGAAGCCAAGTGTCAGTCGCCCACAGAGGTCCACAACAGAGCAAAAAAAAAACGCCGCGCGCGTGAATATCTCAAGGCTTGTTCGTAGCGAGATTTCGGTTTCCACGCCCACTCACCAAGTGCAGCGTCTGCTCCGTGTACTTGGAGAACGGGGTCCGGGCCACGCACGAGAAGAGATGGAGACGCTTGTGCGGCGACAGGAACGGGACCAAGTTGAGGACCACCGGAGACATCACCCGAACGACGGCCTGAGGAACAAAAAAAGTCGGAGAGGAGGGAGGTCGACACACACACACCCCAAGACGTGGGAAACAAATCTCCAGTTGTTGAGGAGCATCCAGAAAAATGGGCGAGGGGTAGGAAGGGCGTCGGGTAACCTGGCAATGTAGACGTTGACTAGCGGGCGCAGCATTGTGCCTCAGGTAGTGCCGTACTCACGACCACCAGACGGACGCAGGCCTTTATCAACGCGCAGTGTTGTCTTGCGGTCGTGCCCACCTCGTGCTTGCCAACGGTGCTGCTCCAAAGGAGGTCAAGCTGGCTGGTGCTCACGGCGTTCCGTTTCGCGAGGAAAGCAAGTATGGGTTCCGACCGCTTGGCCTTCGGCAATGCATGCGAGGTTGGCGAGGAAGCGAACGGGGGGAAAAGGACGTCAATTGGTGGTGGAAGGAAGCACGGAAAGGGCCAGAAGCGCTCGTCACACCCACACCCACACCCACACGAAACCGCGAGCGAGCAGTAACATCTCTTTATCAGGACCGTGGCGCGAACCCGTAACGCCTCACGGCCGCAGGAGAGAGGCAGCAGGAGAGAGGCAGCAGGAGGGAGAAAAATATAGAGATACATGGAGAGAGACAGAGGGAAAGAGAGAAGAAAGAGAGAGAAAGAGAGACAGAGAGAGATAGAGAGAGAGGGAGGAGGAGGGGGAAGAAAGGGCAACAAAAAAAGAGGAGGCAGCACGCATTCCACCCAGCGCAACTCACTGCCCAGCAAGTCGCTGTTAAAAAAAAAGACGAGGCAAGACAAACTCACAAGCTCCACGTGCATGCTGCAGCCGAACAGCTCCTCCAGGAAACCGACCTCCACAAGCCAGTCCTCCATCGCCCTCGCGGTAGCCCAGGCTACGGTCCGGCTCTCGCCCGCGGGAGGGAGCGACCCGTTCGTCGTAACCGCCCCCGGTCCCCGCTCGGCAAGAGTGACAAGGCCGCATATATGCATCAGTCCGGCCAGGCGTCTCTCCAGGGACGGGCATCGGAACACCTGCGCCAGACAGGTTTCATTCAAACCGGTATACCACATCTATCTCCAAAAGGTTTCGTGTTCTGCTATTTCTACCCCGTAACAAAGTATATAGGCGAAAAGCAATCCTGCAGCGGCAAAGAAGGCCGGCGAGCGACGAGGCCCAAGACGTGGGGAAGTATCGAAATGTGGTTGCCATTGATTTTCTGCCGAACGAAAAAAAGTGTTGAGGCAGGGAGAGGGACTAGCGGGGCATGCCGGGGCACAACACAAACCATATTCAAAGCCGACAGCGTAAAAGAAACACATGGAGAGCGGGGTGTAGGCATTGCCTCTGCCCAAAGACAGTGAGAGAGACAGCGATTCGCTTCCTTGCACAGCCAGTCCCACGCACCAGCAGCAGCAGCAGCAACAGCGGCATGCCACTCGCGACGGTTGACGAAAAACACACCACACCGCATCCACCGTGTTGAGCCCCCCCCCCCCCATCCCCACCTTCATGGCCATCGCCAGCTCCAGCTGCTCCAGTTCCTGCAGCAGGACCAGGGGCGAATTCGCTGTGGCACTGCCACCGCCGCTGAGGGTCAGCGCCAGGTCCCTCACGCTGGACACGCACTCCGCGATCTCGACCTTGGTGGCCGCCCGCATCGACTCCGGGGGGACCGACAACAGCGCCGCCGCGGCGCACTCTTTTAGGGTCCAGTTGGTCTCCTTCACCGCCCTGGAGGAGGCGTACGTCCTCAGCGCTTTGCCGACCCGGAACGTCTCCAGCACCTCGCCGAAGGACGGCCGGCCGCCGGTCAGCCGCTGCGCCAGCGTCGCCATGCCGCCGGCCTCCCCGAACCTGTTCACCGCGGCGAGCACGTACATCGACGCGTCCGGGGCGTAGTCGGCGGGGGGCCGAGGCGCCAGCGGAGAGGGCCGTCTCCGGCCCCACGCGGCGTCTTGCTGCTGCTGCTGTAGCTGTCCGGGGGGTGCCGACGCCGCCGCCGACTCCGCATTGCTAGGGGTATCAGCGCCGCCTGTCGCCGGAGAGGAGTCTCGTCGGGGCGGGGGCGTCCACCCCGGCGGCCGGTAGCAGACGCGAAAGCCGCGCTTAGACATGTCTGAATCGCGAATCTCACCGTCCTCGTAGAATAGGGTGTGCGTGCCAACGTTAGGGTCGTACCGCTCGATCTGCGAACAGGGGGGCGGGGAGCGGGGGCCGAGACCGTAACTCAGGCGTCAAAACGAACACTCTCCTCCCGACAAAAGCGGTGCCAAAATTGTTGTGGATCGCGCTGGGGATACAGATGGACTTTGCGATCCCGTGTTTATAGGCAAAGTTTTCCACCCTCGACGGGGCAGAAGACACAACACTTCTAGTGCGGAAAGAGAGGGGCCACCACGCTTGCGAGACGGCGTTCGGTAGCCAAACGCCAACTGCCAAGCATACCTCATCGGCTTCCAAGCATTTCCTATGCCTGCCATGTGGTACACGGTTACATCAAATTTGGTCGCAAACACGGTACCTCGTAAAATATACATTTTCTGTGCGTACAGTGAACTGAGCGCTCCCCCCTTCCATCGCCCACAAAACCGCGCGCTCTTTCTAACTCACCGTTGCTCGAAAGTACGAGTTGTACCGGGGCCACCAAACATCTACTCGCGTGCCAACGTCACTGTCGTCGTAGGAAAGCCCGTCGCCGCCGTCCCACTCCCCGAAGCCCGGGGGTGCCCTCGACTGCTGTTGCTGCTGCTGCTGCTGCTGCTGCTGCTCTTGAGCGCCGCAGGAGCCCTGCCTCACGCCACTACTGTCGGCACCGCAGAAGTGCACCCACTTGATGTTGAGCCGGGAGAGGTCCAGGCTCGCCGTCCTACCGCTTTCGAACTCCACCAGAAACAAGGATGACGGGCTGCGCGGCTGATGGACTGTCTCCGCCGCCACCGCCCCCGCCGAGTCGCCCCCGCTGCCGCCGCTGCCCGGCTGCATCGCCTCCTCCCGGTACTTTCCCTCTCGCCGCTCCTCATCGCCGACGACGTCGGCGCCGGTGCTGCTACTGCTATCGCCACCGTCGCCGACGCCGGAAGGACGGCCGACGACGGTCACTCGATGCCACATGTTCGCGTCGGCAGCCGAGGCGGTCCACCCGACGGCAGCGTCGTCGAGGGGCGGGGCGGGGAACTGGTACTGCGCGAGCTCCCCAGGGATGTCGAGAACGTCGATGCACCAGCCGATGGCGTCGGGACCGACCCTGCCCGCCGGAGGGGGTGAGGGATGGAGGAAGCATCGTTTTCAAGAGCGGAGGAAGCCACCGGGCCAAACGAAGAAACTAGAAAAGCTCGAAAATAGAGCCAGCAGGTTGCACACAAGGGACCGCCTACGCAGGATTTTAAGAGTATCTAGAAAAATAATAGGGAGGGGGCACGCAGACCCTATCCCTAACCCTAACCCTAACACCAAAGGACGGATTGAATACTTTATCCCATATGTTTGCTTCATCAATTTTGCTCTACACAGGACACGACTCGACCCCACTCAATCAACCCAATCCTGCAACCCATCCCGGAGGACTAGCCTAGGACCACGGTATATCACAAAGACCCCCAACGAGGTCACCATCGAGGTGTGCGTGTTTCACGAATCAGTAGGCGTCACGCGCCCACCACAGGACGATCCATTGGTAAACATGCGCTTTCTGGACTTACAGGGTCAACATTGACGCCAACATGGTGTAACGGAGCCTCCGCGGACGAGTGACTCCTTGAACGGGATACTGCTGTATGCCCCATCAATCGTTCAACCCACAAGATCCGATCAATGAAATCAGGTGTTCTAGCGGCCAACGGCGAAAATGTCAAGCGCGGCCAATGTTCAGTTGGTTCGAAGCTGGCAGTTGCAAGTCCAAAACAGGAGACGGCAGTTTACTTGCCACATGTTGTGTACTACTGCTGTAGGCTGACAGCGTGCAACGGTGAAAACGCAGCAGACAGACTGCCGACGCCCGCCAGGATAACACGGCAACACCACCAGCAGTCTACCAACCAGCAACGTGTGCACATATGTGTGATGCTGTGCACAAAGCCCTGAGCGCCTGTTGCCCAACGCACTCCACAGTGACTGCCTGTCGTGGGCGGAGCATCAATTGTTATACATGTAGCGTACGCTTGAAGAACAAAGCAGCTCTCTCACCATGTGCCCTGCTCATCATCCGGCCAAAACCTCCGAGTACAACCGTGGCACTGCCGTAGCAAGGGTTTGCCATGGTCGCGGTTGAAGTGGTGCCGTCCTTCCGCCGCAGTCGTCGCCGGTGCGGCAGCGGAGAAGAGCAAGCGGAGGGTCTGCAGCAGCGGGCGGAGGTCTCGAGCCCTGTCGCCTTCTCCGAGCAGTGGCGAGCGCAGACACGTGTCCACGAAGTCTTGCACGACCGTAAACGTCTTTGCGCAGCGGGCGGCCACCTGAGGCGTCATGGGCTGCCTCTGGAGCCGCTCCACCGTCCGAGGCAGTCTTTCGGAGATCATCATATCGCGCTTCTCCCGCTGCAGGTCGCATGCAGCAGGCCCTTGCAGCAAACTCTGCCGGGCCTCCGCAATCATTGATTCGACTTCTTCCATCTCTCCCACCAACCCTCGTGACTGCGTGGGATACATTGGACTAGCTGCCCAAGGCAATGGGACAGCATGGACCCTACGACGAGAGCGCTCCTTACTCGCGAGAGCGCGTAGCCTGCGTGTGCAGCAGGTTGATGGCGATTTCGCGGTTCGCGGATTGTTTGTTTTCACGGGGGCAGCACAGATTGGCCCCAGCGGGGGGGGGGGGCTGCTTCCGTCGGAGATCTCAGTTGGTCATGGGAGATTCAGCTCTGTGAGATACGCCGGTGCAGCTTCTCCTCTCTTATGGACAAGGCCCCACGCCGACCTGTGTGTCCTGTCTGCCGTGAACATCATGAATGTTCGTCTGCCTACATGGAGATGGAGCTTAGGTCGGCCCTGGCCTAGACGAGAGCTTGCAACGTCTACAGCGGACAAGACCGGAATTGATGTTGGTGCCTCAGCAGCGGGCGTAAAGCGGACCCGAGCCCGGTTGGTGAATGGGAGGGCGATGGCGACGGAAATACTGAATGAGGTACATTGCAACATAGGTACTAGCAGACAGAGGGTCTCACGAAACTGCATGGCATCCAGTGATGTGTAAAGGCGAAATGGTGTTGATGTTTTCTTCTGCATTTGCAACGGTCTACTTCCGTGGGCCTAAACAAACATGGCAGCAGTAGACTTGCGTTGTATTAGCGTGTATGGGTAGTTCGTACTACAGTAACTGTTGTACATGTAGCGTATGTGGGTGAATCGTTTCGTTTGCGCGATATTGAAGAGTGGTTTGATTTGATACCATCTGGTTTCTCTGTGTGTCTGTGTGACTGCGTGCTAGGTATGCACAGCAGTACCTGCCTGCAGGTATGCAACGTCGATACGGACCGACACTCAATATATTTCCCAACATTAGCTGTGCTTTGGATACCTCCATCCCCATCATAAGAGATGAGGAACGACAGCTGTTACTACAGCACCTCCACACACAGCAGTAGTTTACTCCACCAGCAGCAACCGGCGGCGCGTTTAGGCATCCGGAAGCCTTTGTGAACGTACCACCAAACATCAGCGAAAATACTTCACCCCGGTGCTTTGCCTCAATATGCTCTCCAATTTCGGCCGACTCCACGGCCACAGCAGTAGAGTTGCGTGACCAACGCAGAGCCATTCCACACTGCAGTATTTGGACAGCCCTACGGTGGGAACCACTGTAGCGTGGATGATCAACATCCCTTCCGTAAAGTCAAATGGACTGAAGTAACCGAGTTACATTTCGCGCCCTGGTGTAAGCTGTCTTTGAGGATATCTATGTTTCGATGGGAAGTATGTAGCTCACGTGGTATTTGACAACCCTCCCGTCCTTCATTCTCTGTCGTGAATCCGACTTCATCTGGCCATCGTATTCGTTTAGGACACCCTTGTTTCGATACGCAGCAAGACGTGTGACAACCCTCGCGTCCCCCCCCTCTTCCCTCGTCAAATGCGTCGGGATTCTGGTGTGCTAAGGTGCGACGCGAGGTGGATCTGATGAGATCGAAGCACAACACCGTGCCCGGGTTAGCGGTGATAATGGTGGGGGAAAGGCGCGACAGCGCAAAGTACGTGTCAATGAAGCAGGTGAGAGCGGAGCACAAGCCTGTTCGTTGCGTCCTCTAGGCTACACGTACCGCGTTGTGGCGGTTGGTTCTCCCGCCGTCGTTTCCGCTTGTCACCACAAGCGCGCACGCTAGCATATCATCTGGCGTCTCTCGTCCTTTCCCAGCGGTTGTTATCTTTTTTCGGTTTACTCATCAACACTACATCTGCAAATACTTGCTCCGGAGTATTTAATTTGCTTTTTCAGAGATTTTTCGTCGGTACTCATAAACACTGTTGTTGTCCACACCTTGGCTTGTCTATCCCCTTCGCTCATCGCACCCTCCCCTATGGACCTACCTCAGGCGGTGGCGGAGAGCATAGGGTTTAAGTCGTTCAGCAGCGTGCTGCCCGCCACGGCCACGCACCGCGATGTCCTGGAGTGCATACAACATCACAACAAAGACCCAAGGTGGGCCCCTTACTGATGTTTGCAAGGGAGATCTGTGTTTTGTCTCATGCGGCACTGCCGTCGTGTCCGTATTGCATTTGAACACCAAGCAATGATGGCCTGCCCGGTAAGGAGTGCCCCGCTTACCCCCGTTCGCAAGGCTCGTTGAATGAACGCGTTTTTGTAGCTATTCACGCGTGTTTGTCGTATTTTGAACGGCTTGATTTCGCGCTCCTGTACATTGTTCGTTAGACATTGGTCTGTCCCGCTTGACAAAATTAACCGCCGTTGGCTGGCCGCTGTTTGCCGCAAATAACCCTGCCCTGCTCCGCCCCAACGCCTGCTTGACCCTCTTCCTACCACCCCTCCGCTGCGCACGACGGCGCCGGCCACCACGCGCTGCGGCGGCCAGGTGCCACGGGATCCTTCTGCAGCTGCCTGTTCCCGCGCATCTCGATCCCCGAGGGCTGCTCGGGGCGATAAAGGTCGAGAAGGACGTGGAGTGCTTCAACCCGACGAACGCCGGGCGAATGACGGCTTGGCGACGGACGGTCATCGCGCCCTGCACCCCTCTGGGGGTGATGGAGATGCTCCTCCGGCTCGGGGTGGAGGTAAGGGGGAAGCACGCGGTGGTGCTCGGCGAGAGCAGCGTCGTCGGCCTGCCCATGTGCCTCCTGCTCAACGAGGCTCGGGCGACGGTCTCGATGGTCCACAAGGAAACGCCAAACCCGGAGGGCTTCACGCGGCGGGCGGACATCGTGGTGGCGGCTACGGGGGTGCCCGAGCTCGTCCGAGCCGGCTGGGTCAAGCGCGGGGCCGTCGTTATCGACGTCGGCATCAACTTCGTCCGTGACGACGAGAGGCCGGAGGGGTTCCGCGTGGTGGGCGACGTGCACCCGGACGTGCGCGAGGTGGCGTCCATCGTGTCCCCCGTGCCGGGCGGCGTGGGGCCGATGACGATCGCCATGCTCATGCGCAACTGCGCCAACATGGCCTTCCTGCAGAGCCGGTGGGGCACGATCGCGGGAGCCCTGCACCCGGACCTCGCGGCCGAGAACGCGCGGAGGATGCACGCGGCGATCGTCGATCTGGCGTGGCGCGGGTCGGGGGATCATCCAATCAGCGTCAGCGAGAACGGCGAGGGAGAAGCTGAGCAGGAGTGCTCGAAGAAGCGAGGGGCGAGGGACGTGAAGGCCCGGGAGGAGGCGCTAGAGCGAGCCGGGGACAGCATCACCGACGCGGAGCTGCTGACAATCATCAACGACTCCGAGAAGAACGCGTTTGGTCTGCTGAGCTTCCTCGAGCTCGGGTCTTCGCACGACCGGCTCCTGGGCGCCGATGCCTCCAGTGCAGGGACGGAGGGAGGGACGAGGGTGGGAGAAGGTGATAGAGGCGTAGCTAGGCGAATACCGCGGGCGTTAGGTGGTGCTGGACAAGCACCGGGCCAGGCGAGAGGGGGGAAACTAAAGGGCTGCGTCGGCGGCGAGGAGCTGGGTAGCGGGGAAGAAGGGCCCATGGAAGCGTTGGACGAGTGGCACTTGGAGGCGGAGAGGGCCGCGAAGGAGAAGGGAGAGATGGTCGTGCCTCGGCAGGGGAACCCTCTCCTATTGGAGGACGAACTGGAAGAGACGGCCGACGGAACGGGGTGGTGGGAGGGTTGCGCTTCCACCCCCGTCTCTGCATCTGCCGCTGCTGCCGCTGTTGAAACGGCTGCTTCTTCTGAAAGTGCGCGAGGGAAGGGGCGAGGGGGGAGAGATCACCAGGGGTGAGCCGCATGATGGAGGCTTCGCCACTTGCTCGGGAGCGTTAGGTCGCCGCATATCCTAATGTAGTTGGGGGGGTAATGACAGCTGACAATAGCTGAAGCTAGATTGTGTACTCGTGTCCAGGAATGGTTTGGGGTCCGGCGGCGTGCGGAGTAAGCCGGCAGTCGGCAAACGAGGTGCTGATGTGGTTGATGCCTGCATCGCAGAGGCGCGAAACGCGTGTAAGGGTGAATGCATTCGTTTCGTATGAGATTGCGGCCAACCTTCATTTCCTTTTCACGCCTGGCCCATGTGTGAGTTTGGTGGAGTTGAGCGCAACGTGGACCATTCCCTGTTCGGTATCGTTCATTTGCAAAGGTTAAGGGTTAATGTGCCTTCTACCAATGTGCAAGCCCTGTTTGCCGCCAATGAACCCCGCAATTGTCCACCGTCTGAGGTACTATTCTAGCACCTAAACGTTGTGCGCTCACCTAGTGGACCGTCCGTTGCAGGCGTTTGCTCGAATCATTTCTTGTGCGCAATCGAGCGCGTGGCCCGTAGAATTCCAAGTATGGAATATGAGATCGTAGTGTTCGATGTGCGAGGAATTTTTTCACGGTCTAGCAGCCCGTTGCTTGCTGTGGTCGGTCGATGATTTTGTGCCTCCACCCGCTCGTTGTTGCTGATTATCTTCGTTCCTTGTAGACTCCAACATGGTAGGTTTCGAGTTATTTCGCTCGAGAAACGCTTGAGCATCCTAGAAGTTTAGTGCCGACTTATGATATTTCCACCGTTGGTTTTTCGCCTCGAGCTCTTAGAATCCGAGCATTTTCGATGTGTCATTTATTCTTTTTTTCAGAGTGTTGGTCGTCGTGTGTTTTCGTACCGATTCGGTTCCCGCATGGAAACTTGTGGTCCTGGCTGTGGATGTCCCAGGATTATCTGTGTATGTAGATCACCTGTGAGACACAGCGGCACTCAGAGCCGTTGCCAGTTGTGATGAATTGGTTGCACGCGCTCATTTGTTTCGAGATGTGCACATACCACGGCAACATCTAGTCTACAGTACTACCGGATAGTCGGAGAGATGGCAACGGGGTGCGCAAAAATATTCAAGAACGGCATCATGTAATTCGATTTACGCACCGAGGTCCGTGAGATCGGACCGGGTGCGATCTTTCCGACCCCCAAATCCAAGATTGAGATTCTTTTCAGCTGCCGGGATGAGGTACATGTGCGTATCTTTTACATGTGGGGACGGTGTCAGCTGTCAGCGGAGCGCCACTCCTGCATGCACGTATGCATGCGTGATCGCGGTTCACGCGGGATGCCAATTGTTTTCATTTTTTAATTGGTGTGGAAGCTGCCAACACTCAACCAAACACACAACGTACAAGCCGCACCCTACCCCACCTTACACAACATGCAACTATTGTACTGATACGGTACTTGCTATCCGCAGAGGAAGACCGAAACGAAAGCGGGAGATAACTGATACCGTATGCACAGGTGGAGACGACATCGTTTTTGTCGTCAGGCCATAGACGAACTCGCATCAAACACTGGAAAGCTGTTACGTACCAGCCTATGTTGTCGTTGCCGGTGTGTTTCCAACCAGCAACAACGGTGCCTAGCGTGGTCTACACTGATTATATCAATACTTGGTACCGGTCGGGGAGATGGCACACCGGGGTATATGCGTATTTCATCGGGGATCGCACCGGTGGGAGAGATCGCACCGGGGTACCTTGAAAAAACTAAACGAAATGATTGCGTTTCCGCACCGGGGTGTGATAAAACATCCGAAGACGTTTAAAAAAACGATCGCACCCGGTGCCATCTCTCCGACTATGCATATTACGGTACATTCTCCACTTGTCCGACACTTCATCCGCATTTCGCACCAACAAACTCAGAGAGTTATTGACGATTTCGGTTCACGGTAGGTCCCACGATGTAGCCCGGCAACACGCCAGTACAACTAACTCTCCATCTCCCTGTACATTATGGCGAATCGAGCCTTTCTTTCGGAACGAGATCCGGCCTATGGGAACAATGAGGGTTTACCTTACCCCACCGTAGGAGAAAACAAACGAAATTATCACACCGTCCGGGGACGTCAGTCTTTCAGAGAGCGCCAACGAAACACGCTTTCCAGCTTTCTTTCCAGTGATAGGGCTCACATCCCACAGTACAGAGTAAAGAATGGATAATATATAGTCTATAGCTGCTGTTTATTTGTTAGTTTATTTGAAGCTTTTTAGCCGGCCACCTCGACGCACCTATGTACGTACCTCCGGGTATTAGACCCACCATATCAGCAGTAACATCATCAGAGTTGGTTGCGGTTGTTCGCACCACTACCAACCAACCGAGTACACCCTGTAACTTCATTTTATTTATGTTTGTTTGCCTCACAGGGAGCCGAAGGCAAGAGTTTTTTTGCATGGTGTGTGTGTGGTACATGGTGCTTGGTCACCACACCCAACACACGGATGGGGAGTGCTTCGCACCTGAATGAGCGCTCTGGGGACCTCGATGGTGACATGTCTCCGTAGGATGGTTTCGGCCCGGTGGCTACACAGAAGGACGCGCTGCACAGAGTGAAGTCTACTTGCGGCTGTATACACTTGCTGAAGAGTGTCATCCATGGCACGTTACCCACACCAGTAGTAAACCCTGCCTGGTTTCCCCACTATGAGGAGCGAGCCTGCGCAAAATAAGTTGTGGTGCTGTTTACCGTGAGAGCAAGTTGCTGTGATATGAAATGCACGCAAACGGCAGAGCCAAAAAGCAGTCCGTGCATACACAGCAGTGTCATGTGAGCACACACGAGCACCACAGCAGCAGCGAGTTTTAAAAAGTTCGGGTACGGCGGTGGTTAAGCATTTCACGACGCCCCCTTGGTTTTTTCCTATCAAACATCAAACCGTCCCATCAAACACATGCATCATCACACACATCATCCATCATTCATTCATTGTTCATATCACGATACTACGACATGACGACAACGCAAGGAGGCGGAGACCCGTATCCAACAATGGACGGCGAGGAGGAACCCTTCGCTCTCTCTCTCCTCAGATCATCATGCGACGCATGCTGGAAGAAGAAGTGAGTGCACCACAGAGTGTGTACGGCAGCAGCAGGCAGCAAGACGCGCAACAGAGGTACATCACCTTCTTCATGTACGCACACACACCGCAAAGTAAACTTCACCATCTTTGTTGTTGCCGTGTCGCTGCCGTCGCCACCGCCGCCGCAGATGCAAGTGCAGTGGCGAGCTACCTTGCCAGCGATGCAAACGGTCGGGGGGGAACTGCCAGTACTCGACCAAGAGACGCCTGGGGAGGCCACGGGGAGCGGCAGCAAAGCTGGAGGGCGGGGGAGCGGGGAAAAGGAAAACTACGGCTTTATTTGACGGGGTAAATGATTCAGCGCTCGCCAAGGCGCCTTTTGCGGCCGCGCCTGTGACCGGGCTTGGTGGCCTCCCGGAGTCGAGGTTTCTCTCCGCCTTCTTCGAGCACTTCACACCCATGTAAGAGGGATGCCTACCGTCTGCTGTGCTTCGTGATGAGTGTACCGGTAGTCTAGGAAAAGAAACAAGATCTGCTCCAGCCAGCCTCTTTCTGGGTGTGTTTTCCGTTCCTTCCGCAAAATGGCCGCTTTCGAGCGAAGAGGGTTGAGGAGGCGCGGTCATCCTTCGTTCGTTGTGTAGTTCCGACATTGCGGAAGAGTCTATGGCGCTCTCTGCTCTGTTGATGTGGCCACATCGTTTGCATAGAAGCTGGTGAAACGTACATTATTGATTGCTGCTGTGGGTCGTGCCCTTTAGTTTCAAGGAATGTGTTTCGAGTTTCGAGACGGCGGCAACCGCCGCACCTGCCGCAGGGGCAGGTCGCACAAAACTTCCATTCTTTACCTTTCTTCATCTCCTTTGCCCACAACGCCATTTCTCTCTCTCTCTCCCTCTCTCTCTCTCTGTTCTTTACCTCGTAAGAAACAAAGGCTCCGTCTTTGATTTCAATTGCAAATTCGGCCTGCGTCCGCCGGAGTTTGAAACCATAGCGCGACGGCACGCCAGAGGCGAAGTCTCGGTATTGTAGGGGTGCGTTGATACCTGGTTGTGTCGTGGAATTTGGTCTATGATATATATGATACTTTATTCAACAAGTGCCAAAATAGTTCCGTTCGGTTATACTCCTGTCAACTTCTCGTCGACCCGAAAAAAAATCTCTTTACTCTCTCCTGTCAATCAACACTCATTCCCCTGGTGGGTGGGTTCCGTGGGTCCTGGCCTTGCCTGCATCATTTGATGCCATGATTACCTACCGTTGACGTCGAAATCCCACGCCAAAGACAACGCGCAGGGGAAGGAACGAACACACACGTTGTGTACCTACGCAGGGAGAGGTCATGCGAGTTGTTGCTGCTGTTGCGTCGGGGCACGCACGGCTCCATGTGAATCCTTGACCGGCAGAACTTTCGCCACGGTTGCTAAATACCGTTCTTCAATATAGCCGTTCTTGATGTTGGTTTTTGGGGCGGGCCCCAAGCACATGTGGTACACCCACCGCGCTCGCGCCCGCCTGACTCACCGAAAACGATGGTGGGCGTTCGGAACACAGCAGGAGCACGAGGAGCAGCGGTGCAGTTAGTGGGAAAGGCTGCGCAAGTGTCCCTGTTCCATCTTGTAAATTACACATTGGTTTCCTTCGGACGGACATTATTGTATTTTCCAGTTTTGTTTTTTTTGTGTTCTTAATTCAACATAGGTATGCAAGTGATCTGCTTATTTCTGTGCAAAAAACAGAAAACAATCGGCAGGTGATTTTGTTGTCTTCTCTGCAAGGGAGATCCCTGCATTATTGCGTGTACCGTCCGCGTACAATCGTCTCTCAAGAACCTCATGAGGCAAACAGCATGTGGTTGTATTGAGAAAATCGATGTCCCTGGGGATAAAAATAAACCCGCAGGAGGAAGGCTCTGTTTCTTTTCTAAATAGAAAAATATGTCCGGGCGAAAATTCCCCGAGATGGCAAGTACGAAAAAGGCAGACAACGACATGCACACGAAATGTTTACCGGCTGACTTGCTCCAAAATGCGTGTTTTGCATACCAAATGTATTGGTCGTGCTACAGCAGTAGCTAACAACAGTCAGAGGTCGCGTTCTAGCAACTCCAGCCTCGACTGCACGGCGGCCTTTTTCCGCAGGGAAGGGAGACAAGAGAGGTGAAATACAATAAAAATCGGTTGGGTTGTGTGCTTCGTGGGTTGTGCATCAAAAATTTTTGCCAACAGAAGGGTATATGCAATCCATTTGGAAAAATAAATACACACACAGAATGACTTAACCATTCGAGATATACCCACAGCAGTATGTAGTCGAACGGGATGTGTTGCAGTCAGAGTCTTCAGTGAGTGGATGCATCCGTAGACTATATGCATAATAGTAGGGGCGTGGGGACCGGTCCATCGATCCCAGGCCCCGCTCCGTCGGTATGTACGCACTCCGCGTGGTGTCGCGATCACAAAGCTGTACAAATAAGAAGATGAGATGCGTAGCGCGAAAACCTCAAGGCGAAGTGAACGGAGCAGAGAGCTCGGCGTTGCGAATACAAAAAAAACGGTTCCGTACCGGTCAGACACTGATTTTGAACATGTCGTCAGCATTAAATCACAAGTACATAAGTGTACGACGGTGATGTTGAAGCGGGCGTGACGGAGTACTGGTGGTGTGTGCACTGGTATGTTTTATTGTACTGGCATCGAACGCGGTAGCCGGCTGACCGATATACATGCGTCAGTCTTGCAGCGGGATAAAAAACGTAAACAAACGCGCTAAACCAAGTGAAAGGGATCTACCGACAGGGGGGGCGCAGGAGGTGGACGATATGTAGTAGTGTCCTGCTTCTCAATTACAAGGAGGCGATTAATACTTGAGGCAGCGTTGCTGCTGCAACATCTCGTTCTCCCTTGCGTGTGTATGTCGTGCTTGTGTGTGTGTAAACATGTAAACATAGACGCTGGCCGTGAAGGTGAGGTAGGTATGGGTGTACAGCGATCGCCTCGTGCAAACGCGTGCGAAGAAAGGGCTTGGCACGTTCACATGCACTCCACACGGCCAGCCAGAGAGACGTTGTCGGGGGGCAGGTAGCCTGTGAGGGTGCTTGACGGCAGGAAATTCGCGCCGATCGCGATGGGCCTCTCCGGCACACACACAGGCACGAAGCAACCATCTCTCCGAACAAATTGCAGACCCAAGTCTGCTGCGGCACATTTATTTTCCCTTTCAAGAGACGGGGGTCTGTCTCCTTGAACGAGGTGTGTGTATGTGTACTTTGCTGGATGCATACAACGGCACTTAACCCGGACGACCGGTGCTTTTTTACAAGACCTCTCTCTTCGGGTTTGGCCACACAGTCGAAGTGGTAGTTTAAATCCAGCTTACGCGCTGAAACCAACCCTAAACACAACGACCGGTGTTTTATACAAGACCTCTCTCTCTTCGGGTGTTGGCATACAGACTAGTGGTAGGTTAGTGCCAGTTTACGCGCTGAAACCAATCCGCGTGTGTACACATGCATGCATACACATGCTGCCTGTACTCTCTTCACGGTCTCATCATGTTTGGTAAGCGAGCTGTATGTTTGTGGTAAGCGCGCCCTGCGCTATGTGGACGTAGCTGCGTGTTTCCCGTCACGAGTGGCGGCGGTTAGAGGCTAGGCTAGGCTACTGCATCCGACGTACTAGTAGTGTTCTAGCAGAGCCCGGAGAGGCCGGAAGACAATTGTACCGGCAGCAGGACACGCCTGAAATAGCCCGACATCACCCACCACCTAGAACGGCCCGAAATGCCTCCCTTGCAGCGATTCACACGCGGTCCGATGTAGAAAAGGCCGACAGGCTGCCATATCGAAAAACGAGCAATAACCATGAGGGCGAACACAGGATGTAGCGGGCGATAGATACTGCCGGACATCGTCTTTTCGGCCAGCAGGGTGTGTACACCTTGGGCCGCACCCGTGCGCTACGAAGTCATCGAGCGATTTTTGATCGAAAGCACCGCCCGTCCGGTCAGACGTAAAAACAGACCGACCATATGGCCGGCTGGAATGCTAGAATGTAAGGCAGGCCGACGTGGCTGCCGTTTAAAAACGAACAGTTTCACGACGACGACGACGACTCTCTTGTCTCCCTGCCCCAAATTCAGGGCTGATCACGCTCATGATGAGCTTTGCTGGATGCCAGCTTCATGCCAACAAATCGATCTGCGGGGGTCTAGGACACATGAACGAAAATTAGGCAAACGTCTGAGTGTTAGGGGGTGTCTTTGGTGCACGTTTCTGGACAGAGGACAGGGAACAGCGAACTCGGAATCTTTGTCTGATTGCCCAGCCACAAAAAAAAATCATCCTGGAAACGAGAAATGCCGCACACGTTCTCTGTTTCCCTGTTGGGGGTAGTTTTGCCGCAGCATGATTGGAATGCTCAAGGGGTTTAAACTTAGCCAACAGAACATAGGACCATAGGGAACGTGGAACACAGGCTCTTCGGTGGCAATTCAGGACGTGGTGGGATGTGTGTGGCCACTCTGTGGCATGTGGCTGCCACAGGTGCTGCATGCTACCGGTTCAAGCCGTATAGGCATTGCCGCCATCATCAGGTGTCTTGCATGCAAAAAAACGGCGGCGGATGCTCGTGTAGCCGTTGTACATGGGGGAACATAACATGTCAAGGAAACGGCAAGCTGCCGTGGACTATAACTCAAAAAGGATTGCCTTTCAGAGCACTGTCGAGGGTGCGGATTGTATGACGAGCACCGCCTGTTGTAGCCGATACCTAGCGCATGTGTTTGATGTGCACTCGTCAACAGCTTCCCTCAAAACCTACACCACCTTCTTCCTTCTACCACTCGTCTTTTCTGCATCCAATGGTCGTAGTTGTAATTGTTGCCTTTGAGTACCTGCGGGCCGCACGCGCGCGCTGAAATTTTTCGTGTTCACTGGGAATGCGGTGCATCGTAAGACCTAACGACATGAACAGGGAACTCGGAGTTCCCTGTTCCCTGTTCCCTGTTCCCTGTCCAGAAACTGCAGTTAATAAACCACGCCCTTAAGAGAGAAACACGATGAGTTATTATGTTGGCCAGTCGTCTCCTCTGACGTTGCACGCTTGCGGTACGCATGGCAGATTGCTTGTGTGAAACATGGTTGTGTTTTTTCCGTCCGTAGTATCGTCTCTCAACCGTCGGGAGGCGAACAATCCCCGGGTTGTACATGAGGCGAAGGGAGCGGGGACTGTTTTCTGGCACAAAGGCAGATCTATCGGCCCGAGGCGAACAGCAAAACTTCCCGAGAGGGCAAATAAGGAGGACAGATTTTCACACATTAAATTTTAGGAGTTGCCGACTGACTTACAAAGCATGTTGCATTTTTTGCCCCGCGGTACTGCATGCATGGTAAATATCTGAGAGGGACTTAGTTGCTCTCCCTAGGGTCAGCAACCAGGGCGGTCAGTTGTTTGTTGTTTGTTGTTGCTGTTGTCTCACATGCAAAAACCATTCCGGCCTCCGCTCATTACTTTCTCACATCCATACCGGTCCGATAGACGTATCCGGTGTGTTCACCGGGCGGTCCTGCGGTCCTTGGTTGCTTGTTGTCCCGCTACATGCGCTGCGGGAAAGTGTTCTCATTGATCAGCTAATCAGTGCGATCGATGCTACTAACAGCAGTCAGAGGTCCTTGGAGCAGCTCCGGGCGCGACAGCACGGAACACGGCCTCGTCCTCGCAAAAGAGAGAGAGGGAAAAGAGGAGAGCAGGGCCTCTTGTTTTGGTGTGCTCCGTTGCATGTCGAACTTTGGAAAATGCGAAAAATTAGTGGTAAAACGCATGCGTACCTTCCATCTCCGGGCTCCCTCCGTGTGCGTGGACTTCGTGATCGATCAGTTGCGCGAACGAGCAGATAGGTGTGGATGGTACAGCTGCAGAGCTCGACGATATCGCGAAAGCATACCAAGACGAAAATACGCTTGGAGCTCGACGTTGCCAATTGTTGTCGAGGGCCAAGTTTAAAGCAGTGAGCGCGATGTTGAAGGGAATAAAAGTGAAACAAAAGGAAACACAATGAATCTAGAGGCTGCCTGTGCACGCGAGAGCGAAGGGCTTGACACGCGCACTCTACCCGGTCAACAAGAGAAACGCTGCTGGAGGGCACCTAGAGTTGAGGGTGCGCGACGGCAGGACATGGACACCAATCGCAACGAGTCTCCCCGGCAGACAGCAGTTGCAAACCGCCCATCTCTCCCAACAAACTGTAGACAGGTTTCAGACCCAGCAGCCTGCGGCGCGTTTATGTTCGTTTTAAGGAGACGGAGATCTTCCGTAACCATGTGTGAGATGCAACGGCTTGAATGTGTGAGATACACCGGCTTGACAAACAAGCCGAAGGGAGGCCGGGATATGCTCTGCCGTCGGATGCGGTAGGTGGCCTGCTGTAGCCTCCAATCGCTTTCCACGCGTGCAGGGAAACAGGCAGCTCTCTGCAGTGCGCCGGGCGCACTTCTCACAAACACCCAGCGGTGATGTGGCATCCCGGACACACACACACACACACACACACACGAGTGCAAGGTAGCAGCAGCCTTCGTAGACATATGTAGGCTTCTTCTGTTGCTACCGTTTCTGTCTTTGATACGGAGAATAGGCTAGTCTCTCCCATGCCGCCCCCTCACGGGGTCCCAGTTAATGGCATTTAGTAGTGTTTTGTGTTTTCAACCGCACTGAGACTGACGTCTTTTCATTGGTCAGCCGGTTAGCGCGATCGATGCTAGTAATAAACACACACACACACACACACACACACACACACACACACACACGTTCGTCGCGAGCCTCTCCCGCTGCAACCCAAGATGTCGGGGTCAAACAATGCCAGTACCTAGGAGAGAGAGAGCGTTTGAGATACCGGGTAAGGGGGCGAGCACAAGAAGAATGAAAGGATATCACTTGGGTGCTTGCTGAAAAAATAATTTAATGTTAGCGGCAATATGCCGCGCCTTGCGGTTGGTTATCGGTACACCTGAGGAAAGGCGCAGCTCGTGTGATTGGCAGCAATCAGCCCGATTTCAAGCCAAAAGAAACAATCGCAGCCAAAACGGTGGCAGTAGCAGGCAACCCACCTTTATGCTTGTGTTGCTGCGTCCATTGTCTGCCGTCAAGGATAGTGTCTTTTACATATTTCGTATGATTCTGAGTTGTTGGAAGAGCTTGAATCTTTTTGGCGAGAGCGGACGCCGACACACCCCTCCCTTCTTCCCCAAGCTCAAGGTCAAACGCGTATTCAGGATAAGGGTAGCTTCCCCCGCCTTCGGGCAGTTCCCCCTTGCCACGCTCCCGGACTCGCTCCAATCCATTGGTGTTGCAATCCTCCCGTCTTGAGTTTTGAGGTTTTGCCCACGTACGCTGTTAGATACAACCCTCCCGCCTCCAGTTTGCGTTGCGTTTTTGTTGACCCTTCCGTCTTCCGCTTGCGGCGTTTTCGTCGACGGCGCACGGAAACACACACGCGTGCGCGGAGTGCAGGTTTCCCGTGGCGGACGAGGTGTCAATCCGGGACGGCCTGATGCACTCCTTCGCCGGCATGTGGCACGGCGGGGCGCCGACGCTGCACGGTCAGGAGGCCTCCCGGGGGCGTACCCTGGAGTGCGCGTTCCTGTCGAGCGTGGCGATCGGGGGCCTGCTGTCGGGCCAGCCCCCCGAGGTGATGGCGAGCCACGTCGAGAGCGCGCAGGCTTCCGCGGCGAGCTGCCGTGGCCTTTCCGACAAGCACTCGTCGTCGGCGCTGGTCCTGAGCGGCATGATGAACTTGCTGCTCCCGGGGGAGCGGTCGAGCGCCGCCGGACGGAGGTGCCTGGACGAGGCGGAGGCGATCTTCGAGGCCCTGCCCGAGAGGGAACCGCTCGTGGCGGCCATCCTGACGTTCCGGAGGCAGGTGGAGAGCCTCGCCCTGATCGACGCGGCGACGCTCTGCCCTCCCCCCCGCTCCCCTCCTACTTCTTCGTCCGATGGTAGCGCACCAGCTACCACTGCTGCTGGTGGTGGTTCTTCCAGGAAGCCTCCCAGAAAGGTGGTGGCGCCTCCTAGAGCTTCTTCCTCGTCTCCCGAGGCTGGCGGTGCCGGTGCTAGCGGCGGCGATGTGTCTTCCTCTGGGGGGGAGAAGGGCTCGGCTGTCGCTGCTGCTTCGGCTTCGGCTGCGGCTGCGGGTGACGGCGAGGCCCACACGGACGAAGGAAGGTCGATCCTGGCGGGCGTGGACGTGGTCCGGCGGGACAGCAAGTGCGCGCCCCTGACGGCCCAGCCCGCTCACCCGTCCTTCGTCGTCGCTGACGGTGAGAGAGAGGGGAGGGGGGGACGGGGGCGTTGTTGTTTTTGTGTTTGTTTTTATCGATGGATGGATTGCCATTTCGGGGAGAGGGTGACCGGTGATGCAAACGAGTTGGTTTTGTGGACGAGAGAGGCGCGTCGTCGTCGTCGTCGCAGGTATGGCGTGCGAGCCTAGCACACACAGAAGCATCACGAACGCTGGGAAAAAAGGTCGGACGTTCCGGTAGAGCTTTGTACCGTAGCGATTTTGGTTGTTGCGCATCACAAGCGCTGAAATACAAGGTAGAGGGCTGTGCAACATATTTCGGCTCGTCAATACTTGACAAGTGTTGTTGATTACAGCAGTACTGATCACAAACGTTTTGCTACGCCGTTTCCCATACACCCGCTCTTCCCACACATTGTACCCACCACAAACGACGATGTACGCCAAGCCCCCGTTGTACTCCAGCGCGCTTGTCGGCGGCCCGCGGCCCCAAAGCTAAGATCGATGCGGATGTCCCGCCGCCACCTTCCGCACTGCTGTGTCTCGTCCTTGCTTGCGCCTGTCTCTCTGTCTCTCTGTCTGTCTGTGTGTCTCTCTCTGTCTCTCTTTGTCTGTCTGTCTGCGTGTCTCTCTCTGTCTCTCTCTGTCTCTCTCTCTTTGTCTCTCTCTCGCTCTCTCTCTCTGCCTCCCTTGCGCTTCTCAGCCCTGCTCCTCACCGTGCGGTTCATGCGCGGGGGGGGCACCGGCGGCATCTCGCAGCTGCGGCACGTGCACGACTTCGTGGCCTCCGAGCTAAACCGGCTCGTTCCGGCCAGGGCAGGCGCCCTCGTGCTCATCTCCCTGGCGGGGACGCTGCTCGCCATTAAGACGCGCCTCCAGCTAACGGACGGCATGCTGCCCATGGCCGAGCTCACCACCGCAATGCTCACCAAGTGCCCTGGCTGGGGAAGGTGAGTGGGGCCTTGCGTCCTGAATGACAAGTACGAACACGTTTTTGGTTGTCATCCCATTTCTTCTGGACGTCGGTCCTTTATCCGTTCGGTAAAATTCTGGAAGCACCAGCCGGGGTCACACAGGAGGAAGGCCACGCGAGACACACGTTTATTTTGCGTGGCGAAGATTAGATGGTTGTGATGGTCGACGGCAACAGCGGCGAGTTACCTACGAAGCAGGCCGGTCGGAAGGTTTCTGTCTTTTTGTGAGGGGCGCTCGAGCCTGCTCACTGGATTAGTGCCTGCTGCCCAAAGAAAGCACGCTGCCATTGTGCACGAGATGTATTTTGTCTATTTCACGCGTGTATTGCTGCGATGTTGACTGCTGCTGGTGCCGCTGCCTGCAACTGCTGCTGTGGACACACGCTTTGGTACGGCGGTTCACACGCCGGTGTCTAGTTTTTACTTAATAGTACCCCAAGTATCTCACCACGCCCTGTTTCCTTCCTTCCCCCCTTGGTCTACGATCGTCGTCGTCGTCGTCGTCGTCCCGCCACACCTTTACTCCAGGTCGTACGGGCGACACGCGGCCCACCTGGCCCTCGCCGTCTTCCGGCTCCACGGGCACAGGCACTCGTACGACACCCTCAGCGACCTCGTCCGAAAGACGTCCGACGACCCGATCCCGTCTTTCGACGACAGCGGCGGTGGCTACGGCGGGCACGCGTGCGGGCTCGGCGCGTGCAGGGTGCTGTCAGAGTCGCTGTCGGCGCTATCGCTGCCCGGCACCGGAGACGACGCCGCCCGCGGCGGCACCGGCGGGGGGACTGTCAGCAGCAGCGGCAGCCGCAAGAGCAGCCGCAAGAGGCCGGGAGAGCCGCGCCCGCCGTCCTCCCCCGGCGGCGGCGGCGGCAGCGGCGGCGGCAACGCCGACGCTAAGCGGCAGAAGTGGACGTCGTCGTCGTCGAAGTCGGTGTCTGCGTCGGCGCGCAAGCGGCCGGCAGAAGTGTCGGCTTCGAAGCCCGCGAGCTCGACCAAGCGCGACGCTGCCGTGACGGCAATTGCCGGCGAAGCTGCTTCTGCCGGCAAGCTCCCTCCTAGTAGAAAGAGTGATGCCGCCAACTCT